AAAAAAAAAAAAAAAAAAAAAAAAAAAAATGCGTTGATCCCAAAAGAATCGGGCCCCAGCAGAACTTGAAACCATTCTTTCAAATCCTCCAAAGTTGAGTCTGATTTTTTTGGCTTGTTTTCTTTTCAACTGTTCAAGTTGATATATAACTGAGAAGAACTCCTTCTTTTCTTGCAAGAAGTCAGAAGATCAGTCAATATTCGCAGAGAAAAGAAACTGAAAGGTTACGATGCTTGTTCATGAAGATTTTGTTCTAAGATTTTGTGTGAATTTCTAACAACCTCGCTGAATAGAGGGACATTTATTGAAAAACAAGAGTAGGACACTAAGTACGAGAATGATTTGTCCAACATATTTTTATGCTCTCGACTATCACGTCTTAAAACGGTCTCCGATATTTTCTTTATCAACTCAACCAGGATGAGGGAGGGATCTGGGAAGGTAAATGAATGTAAATAGAAAATCATGCTTGATATCGCACTCTTGCTGTTTTCCATAGGTCCCTTACATGGATTAATTTTCATACTTAAATAAGAAATGCAAACATGCTCTCCATAGTTATATTGCTGATTTATAGTAGTTAACGAAGTATTCAAAAGATTCCTTTAATGTCTTGTTTTGTTCAGGAATTCATCATAGGGCAGAATAGCTGTCTTCATGCTGTCTTGGATGTTATTGATCCCGAGAAACAGGTAAATACCAAAGGCGTTAGCATTTCTCGTAACCAGTCTAGTGACACAAGTGTGCACTAATAGGCGTTGTAGACAATGGCTGTGTGTTTGTTGGCTTGAATTTATATGGAAGGTGGTTGTTCTATGCTTAATGGCAAGTTGCACTGTCTAGATAAAGGGCAAAGAAGTAAATATTGCAGAAGTATTTCTAGTCCAGATGGGTAAGGCTGTAATTGAAGACTTTGGCACTGGCCTCAAAGATTTTGGCAGTAATTCCAGCTGAGATCAAGTGCATGCCCTTCAATCAATTTAATTGCGAATATAAATAGTTTTCACAGTAGTTTCTGTTTTTCAGTGGAATCCCGATTTCTCGAACCCTCATTTTTTCGCACCTCCCGATAACTCGAACCAAAAGTTGTCCCTCTCCTCAGTCGAACACTGTAATTTTACCCCCGATTTCTCGAACTCTCCGATTTTTTCGAACCAATTTTCGTTTCCCTTGGAGGTTCGAAAAATCAGGGTTCCACTGTATTGCACTTTATAATCCATCAAATATTTTCGCTCGCGCGCGATTGGTCAAAACCCGTTCCGTGACTGAATATGCCCCAACTAAAACTGGGGGATATCCTAGTGATATTCCCCGATTTTGAAACTGGGGTAATAAGTGTAAATAAATTGAAGTGAGTCGAGCATTCATCACTTGTCTATAGACAGGCCATTACAATAAATATTGTCATCAGACCATAAGACAATAAGTATTTCAGTCCAGATGGGCAACACTGTTATTCTGTACACATTTTCAACTTGATTAACACCTCCTTCTGTCTGTAGTCAGGTCACTATATTCCTCCTCAACTGGTATCTGCAGCATTCTTGTTACTTCACTCTTTGTGGCATGACAGAAGAGATGCCGCGCTCACAGCAATACGAAAGAGGTAATTATACGTGAAAATATTAACTACAAAATGAATTTACTAGTGATGGACTTTATTATACTAGTTCTTCAGTAACAGGTTATTGATAGTTTTGTCAGGCTTTAGCTTTAATAGCAATAAAGTAATGATTTTAATTGTTCAGAACGATAAATTGAATTGTGTAAATTTAATAGAGGGTATTGGTTATGAGGCCCGACGAAGCTCTTTGTTAATATGTTTTGTTCACTCTTTTGGCCTTTATCGCTTTCAGAACACAATAGCTTTTTATTTCTGACCGAAGAACTAGGCAGTAGAAACGTTTTGGTTACGTTATTCATGAATAGTGTATGAGCGCAAAACCAAAGATTGTGCATGTTCGTGGACTTTTCACCGTAACTCGTGATATCTTTAGTTGCTCCTTTGAGCTTTGTCCCCGGCTCCACAGCCATTCCTCTGAATTAACTATGTCTGAAATGACAAATATGTAAAGCGCAGTGCTGTAGCGTTATAGGACATTGCATTTTTGAAGTAGAACAAAAATATAAATCATGAAAAAAGGACTTTTATAGACCTTACCGAGCAGCTAGCTTTTACTTAGTTCATAATTTTCGCAGAGGAGAATTGAATTTGTCAAAAATAATTTCACTACTTACTTCATGTGGCTGAACTTTACCAATACCACCTATCATTGCTGTAGCTTATTGTAGAGTGGTCATGGCATTCAGCCTAAAGAAAATATCCTGTTATATCCCTGGTGGGTAGATATGTCTCCCATCGGGTCCCTAGAGGGGATACATTTCACTTTTGTCTTCTCGGCTTTGTAGGTTTGTAATAAGAAGTGTAAACTGTTTCTTTAAACTTTATTTGGTATAATTATACTCTCGCAGATTTTTGCAAGGGTTTTGTCTTCTTCAAGGTTAGATTTACAAGTAGCAATTGTTATGTCAACATCCCTCTGGAAGGTCATTATTTTGTTTAGCGCTACTAAGTCAGACATAAAGATTTGAGCGAGAAAAGTTAGTATTCGCGAATACGTACTGAAAGCCAGCATGTTTTTTTTTCCTGTTAGCCCAAAATTCTGGGAAAATTTAACTCATCCACTGATGACTGGAATACAATCGGATGTTGATGAAGTAAGTATTATTTATCTTGATACTTATCTGCAGAAAAGAAGACAAGCACTGTATTGATTAAAATTCTTTTAGCTATAACACAATTGATAGTCCTTTTTCTTTTTCTATCAGCCATGTTTAACTTGCTTTGCATGGCGATATGTCCGTTGTGGTAACAATGATCGAAGGTGACCCTCAAGATGGCTTGTGTGCATCTATAACTAAAGAGTGAACTGCAAATTGGCATCTGATCATGACAAGAACGACTTTTCTGGGGCCAGTAGCAATTTTCCTGCAGCGAGTTTTGGAAATTTGCCATCAAAGACTCGGCGTGCGTATTGTGATCAAAATGTTTGCTACAGATTCCTTCAGGTGGCTACGGCAGTAGTTGCCCATTTTTCAGGGGCTTGATCTCTTCATTAAAACAGTGCAAGTGAAAATCGTCTCTCTCGTCTCAACGACTGTCGTCTCAACATAGAAGAGACTGCTCCCAACACCACCACCCCCTCTCAGCTCCCTTCCACACTACGCCAGAGAAATTTGAAAACCGTGTTTTCCAAATTGTTTTCCGTCCACACTACGCCGGAGAAATCTAAAAACGCCACAATCACCGGCCATTTTGTATTTGCGTTTGAAGAAAACTTGGGCAGTAAAATCACATGATTTTCGTGATGTCATCGCTTTCGAAAAGCTCCGTTTTCAAAATGTTTTCTGTCCACACGAAAACGAGAAGCCGGCGTTTTTAAATTCCTCCAGTTTGAAGAGCGTTTTCTGAAAAGCTCCGTTTTCGTGACGGATTAGTGTGAACGATAGGCCTAACCGTAGAACTAAAGATGCGTTTTCAAATATCTCTAGCGTAGTGTGGACGAGGCATCCGAGTACTTTTTATGGGTCAGCAAGATATAGGAAACATTCATTTTTAGTGAATACCTGATACCAAAGGCTTTTTTCTCTCTCGCAGGATTACAGATATTACATGGAAATCTGCTGTTATGCTCTGCAGATTATTGCGTTAGAGGCTTACTATGTTTCAAGGTAATCTTAGCATTTTCTGCTCGTCGCCTGTTATCGGCTTATAAATCCATCTTACTGTACATCCGTTGTGATAAATGTACTTGTTTCAACGATTATGACAGATCTTGTAGCTATTTATATTTTAGGAATTAGGACAAGAAGAGAAAATCCCTGATTACTCTTGCGGTTCCAGTGCAAGAGTTGTTTAAGTACCTGGAAGTATTTAACGCTCCTGTAGCCCCGTCCACAATGCGCCGGAGGTAACTTGAAAACGGAGCTTTACTTCTACGGCGAAGTCTCTCCTCCACAGTAATCCGCCACGCAAAACGGAACTTTTCGAAAACGCTCTTCAAACCGGCGGAATTTGTAAACGCCGGCTTTGCGTATTAGTGCGGACGGAAAACATTTTGAAAATGAACTTTTTTGTACTGACACGGTAACGTTACGATAATCATGGTATTCCCCTACCTGCGTTTTCCTCAAACACAAATGATCCGTGATTGTTGCGTTTCCAGATTCCTCCAGCTTAGTTGCGGACGGAAAACGTTTGATTCCTTTTCAGAGTGAAACTTCCGTTTTCAAATTCCTCCGGCGTAGCGTGCACGGAGCCTTAGTGTTGGTTTCAGATGTCTTCAGTACTTAGAAACAAAGTCGGTCATTAGTAACAACAGTTAGTAACAATAATTGCATCTACATTCACCAGAGGTCAAGTTGACGACAGTCTGAAGACATCCATGAAAGCTTTCTGTTCGAAACAAAGATATCAATACTGGGGTCAGGTAGGGACAAACCGATTGCTATATTTCAGTTGTGTTTCTTAACATATGTGTGTATTTTGTGCGCCCTTTTTCCCGTCTCTTTGTTTATTCATGGTTTCTCAGCTACAGAACTTTTTATTTAATATGCAATTTACTCAATTACGTTCGGTTTGTTCTGTCTCGTCCTTGCTGCATTCTCATATCCTGTTTCGTTAACGAATTCGAAAACCTTTGTTTATTTTCTTTATGTTTTGTTACGTGTTCGAATGTTCAAATGTTGTT